TTTGTCCTAGGAGAGAAGAAAATCCCCAATAGACTGATGGGTGTTTGAACCTGTGTGTTGAATATTTCTCCCCCAAGAAATTATAGGAGCTAAACTCGATTATTACTATGTCTGAGGATCATGAGTAGGTATGGGTATAAGTGGCAGATTCCCCATCGGCATTGCCCATAGGTTAGACTGGTGTCAATTAAGAGGATCAAACTTCAGAGCACTCTGAGGGTCTCAGAGTGCTGCCACAAGAACAGCATTGACTGTGAACCAGCTGACCTGGATTTTCTTGGCACTCTAACTGGTGCTACAACCCAGAGAAAGTTTAGATTCTCCATTAAGTAGAAGTACACTATCCTGGGAAAGAAAAGAGAAATGCATGTTGGAAATAAAAGAGTTTATGGCTGACTTTTAGGGAACTTGAAATCTTGGCCAGAGCAGGGTCCGTCTGGGCCAATGAGTCTCAGTTGGGCTCACTCTTCTGGGAACACTGAGGACAATTTATTTTCATAGAAGGTGAAACTAAAGCAGCCTTGAATGATGATAAGTCCCGGTCTTGGGCCAATCCCTGATTATTTTTCCACCACATTATGCTGGTTAGATTTGCTCCTTGAAATCTGAAAGGAAGAAAAACAGGAAACGAAAGGCGGATGATTTGGGAACTGATAAACCATTGTTTCCAATTTTTCAAAAGACTAGTTGCAAAAGATGTTGCGTATAAAAGTGCTTTCAAGGTGCAAAACATATAGGAAACCAGAAAATTAGTGTTTCCATTACACCTTCAAAATTAGCATTAAATAATTTTGGAATGTCCTACTATAAAGATACAATTTTTTTTAAATTAGCACTTTCTAATTTATCTGGTGAATGAAGAGACACTTTGCACACATGACCAATTATCACTGTTTCTGGTTTGTAAATATGTAGACATTATCACTGGCATGGGTATAGAGACAGGTTATTTTACCTTCACTTTGAGGTAGCCTTCTCATTCATCTCAGTCTGTGCTTATTTATGGCTCCTTTTCCCAGTTACCTTCATTCAGCTGAGACTGAGTTTTATTGAAGCATTAATAATAGCCTGAACTCACTTTTCTCTTCATCCCAACTATTAACATCACAGTTCCATATCCCAAGTTACCTGGCATAATGTTTCCATGCAATGGCTGCTCAAATACTTGTAATTTACGCTGTAGCTTGTTTATATGAAACATTTTAGTCATTTTTCTGTAGAGACCAAAGCACAAAGTCAATGCCCAAGTTGACCATTTATACATGGGCACCACTGATCTGTTACCCACTGCTTTATGGGATTCTATCTAGGGATGTGTGCCCAACCTTCATGTGCTAGCAGGAAGAGTGCTGCTAATATAACTTTCCTTAAAGACAAATAAATCTAAGGTAAAAGGAATCCACAAGAGTCTTCCCTCAGAGCCAGTACATGCAATTCAAGGTCAGCAGTTAAATACCCACACTGATCTACCCAGTGACCTGGATTTACTCTTAGGCTCTGGTTTAGTTCCAGACAAGTGCTGGTGAGAGGATCAATGAAAAGGAGGAACACACAAACCAAAGAGGTCATAGGGTTCTGGTAGCCTGGGGTGCTCCCACGAGGAATACCCCTTCTCTTTGTCATGCTTTGGTTAGCAGCCCAAATTATAAAGTTCTAACCCATAACAAGTAGTTATGGATACAAATGGATACCGAGAGCCAAACTCGTTGACGAGGGGGAACAAAAACAAGTATTTAAGAGGAAATAAAGGTAGTTGGGATGATGTAGGAACTCAACACATTGCATTATTATTCTCAAACAGTAAACTCTGAATAAGGAGGTAGAATGTTTACACTGGAGTCTGATGTACTGTGTTGAAAATCCTCCGATCCCTCACATTTTTCATCTATAAAATGAAATGAAAAGGAAATAGAATTGCATAAGGCATTTGGCATGCAGGCTGTGTGCAGCATACAGTGATTTTTTTTTATATAAGATGCCATTTTAGTTGGGCTCACTTTGAAGCTGAAGACTTCTAGACTACCTTAGCAAGTCCTTCCTGCCTCACTCCACACTTTGCTTTTCTTTACTCCCCTTTCCCTTCTCTTTCCTCTCCTTCTCCTTCTCTTTCTATCCTCCTTCTCCTCCCTCTCCCCCCACCCCTCATGACTTGAATACCAAGTCAACCACAACCACAGTAGCCTTTCAAGTACCTACTACTCCTCTTCCATAGGAGGAGGACATCCCTGCTGGGAAAGGGTATGGACAGGTTTCCCTCCAAGATATGCTGTGACAAGTTCTGCTGACAGTAGCTGCCACACATCTCAAGCTCTGAGGGACAATGGAGTGCAGGTCACTTTTCTATATCTACTGTGCAATTGCCATGGTCGAGCCAGTGATGATAAACCTTTTAGAGCTTTCAGTGATACAAACAGCCTGCTGCAGCATATGTGCCATAGGTTTGCACCACTGATCTAGCCTAACCAGTTTCCTTCCCAACTCACACCGAGTCTTTGAGAGCACCTGAGGCTTCTGCCATGCCTTTGATTATAATGAAGCTAATACCAAGCCATAATACCTAGAAGTCCATCAGGCTACTTCCCAAGACATATTAGCTTTTCTTGATAACCCCAAAATTATTTACTCAACAAAATTTCTCAGAAATCAAATATCACTCAATTACTAATTTGAAAAAGGACACAAATATGATTATTTAGCAGAAGTTTTTAATGGCTTCCTAACAATGTACATACATGTGAACATCTCTTTAACACACATTAGTAATTTGGGAGTGATCTTTTTAAAATGAAGTGTAAAATTATACAGAAAAAATACACAAATTGCAAGCATACGATTTGATGAATTTTCACAAAGGGAAGACACCTATATAAATAACCCTGCCCAAGAAACAGAATATTTCAAACATCCCAGAAACCCTAACACTTGCTTTCCAGTCACTGCCCCTCCAAGGATAACATTATCCAAAATTCTAACAACAAAGGCGAGCTAGCCAGTTTCCCAACTTTACTGAAAGGGAATTAATCAGTCTCTAATCTCTTATGTCCAACTTCTGCATAATATATTGTAAGATTCATCCATGGTGTGTGTATATGCCAATAGTTCATAAGTGGTGTCTGTATGTGTGTGTGTTTGTGAATTTGTCTGGATCTGCTGATTTTATTGGCTGGATATCGCAATCCTACCACACTTCTGAGGGCTTATAAACAGGAGCTTTGTATACAGTAGTCAAGATTAACAATTTGGTTAACTTGTAAACTGCTCCATTTGTTGTTTCTCATACAGGCTTCCACTTACCAATAGCCAAGCCATGAAAATGGCTTTCAAATTATGTATTTTTTCTCTGTTTTCCAGGTTCAGGGTCCCAGTCATCCCTTGCCTGCCTCCGACCTCTCCAACTTCACCCACGCTCCCCGGAAGGACGGACACCAGAGAGTTTGAGGTGTAATATTTCACCTTCCCTATTAATATGGAAAACAATTACATGGCTGAGGATGTGGGATAATTTTTCAATCCTAGTTGAGTCTTCACAATGAAGAGTCATTATTTTATTTAAAATACTGGCTGTGGATGTTCATGCAATTACATATAAGGCTAATCATTTGTTCTGGTATTAAAAAAAATATTTGGAGTTAATCTGAGCCAATGATCTTTTTCTACCAACCAAAACAGGTGGAGCACAATGCAATGCAACTATAGTGAGCTGAAGAGAGGGCAAATATGACATTGAAACTAGTGGATGCTGAAAGACTGCGTATGTGGTTAACTCTGTCATGGAAAAAGCCCTGCAGTATGGAAGCAAGACAGGCTAAAAATGGAAGAAGAGCAGCTCACCCAGCTATGCAGTTCCTCCACCAGTGCCATTCCTGCCCAACCCAAAGGGGCATAAATAGAAATAGTCTGGGATTTAGCACCACTGATATTTAAGCCCAATTTCCGCCAGGTCAAAACTAATAGCGAGGTATTTGTTTTACTGACTTAGGTTGCAAGTGCCTTGGGCGGATCCTGTACCTTCTTCTATATCTCACTCAGCGCCAAGAACACTGTTAGCCATCAACAAACCATAATAGAACTGAGTCTTCTCCAAAGGCCAACGAAAACACACACGCTGAACTAATGGAGACATTTACAGGCAAAGGATTCCAGTTTCCTTTCGGAAAATGCCACCAAGTCGCCCTGGCTAATTAGGTCTTAGTAAATGACACCCACGGACCAGAAAGGTCCACCTGCCTTTGTGTGTGCACCAAACCAGTTTTCTATTTATTTAGATTTTTCATGTTTAGCATTAAGTTCAAAAGGGATATTTTTCAAATTTCAAAAAGCTTTTAGAGATCTACCTTGTGAATTCATAGTAATTTCAGGAAAATGGGAATATAGTCTGTACTACAAAGAATAAATTATTCATTGGGGGATAGTCATTCCTCTCCCACCCCATTACCTATCCTTTGGTGAAACCTAGAAACAGAATCTTGTCCAAGGCCACTTCCAAACCCAATGACAATTCCTGGAATAAAATACAAACTTTTTTTGTAAATTGTCTCTGACACAGCCTAGGAATAGTCAGAATTTTCCCAGTATTCCCAATAAGGGTTGTGATGGTTTAATTCAATCCTTGTTTGCGTTTCTGAAAAATAACCCAAAGGATGGAGACCGGCATTGTGAATGTGGGATCCTGAAGCAATAGCAACTCAAAGACTAAAAGATCTTTCTATGAAGAAAGAATGACTACAAGCAAGATGCTGTGAATGTGCAGGAAGAGCAGATAAGATGCATGTTGCTCACAGAGAGTTCAACAAGGATTAAGGTTGCTATTGCAAATCATCTGAACACAAATGCTTCTATGCCTGTCACATTGCCTTCTTCCAAAATACTAGAGGAAAAGTATACAACTGCAAGTTATGGACTTGATCCACCAACATATAAATAAATAAAATTTTTTGGAGAACCCAAAATATACCAGCCAAAACATATGCAAAAATATGAATGTGATGTGGTAGAGCAAAAAATGATTGGATCCTGAAAGAAGATATAGCTGATTTCCAATGCCAGTTCCATTAGTGTTAACTTTGCAGTTTTCTAAACTTCTCTCAGCTCCATTCCTCACCTGTACAACTGGGATTAATAACTATACATATTAAGGGCTCTCTCAATTACAGATACCAAAAACTTAACCCAAATTCACTTCATCAAAAATAAATAAGTCAAAATAATAGGAATTTATTGACCCTGTACCTGAAAAGCCTAAGAAACTCTGGATTTTCGCACACCTGGATTCAGGTGCTCAGTATTACCAAAGTAATGTGTCTGGTCTCCTCTGAAATAGCTTAATTTTCAAACACATTTTCCCAGTATAGTGGCTCCCAGAACTCAAAGATAATATCCTCATAACCCCAAGGCTAGTGAAATGAAGACATCTCAGCCAAAAGTTCCAATAAAAGTTCTGGTAGTAAACCTGCTTACCATGATCAGTTAGTTGTCTACACCTGGAGACAGCAGTGGAAGGAATCATATGAATAAAGGTACATGGCTTCAGGAGGGGGTTTATGGGGGGTTTCTGCAGAAACAACCAAAATCTATCCCAGTCTATAATTTGTATTAAGACAAATAATAAAATAATGGACATCCAGAAAATACTTGTCTGTATTGAGTCCAGTTAGAGCAACATTACTTGTCCTAGTGAAACCTCCTTGATATATACAATGTTCTGCCCAAATAATAAGGAGCAATCATGTAAGTGTACATGATATTAGCTGGTGAGATATTAGCTGGATTGAAAGGGGGCAGAAGATGTAGCCAGGCAAAGAGGAACAGGGACATCATTCTAAAAGGAAGCAAAAACAAAATGCCTGTATGTTTCCATCTAAAAGTATTATCACTAATATGGCCATCCTAACCTATGAAAAATGGCACATGATAGAGTGGGGTTGTAAATATTTGTAGGAAATTTGCACACCTCCAGCAAAAATAACATTTACAGAATAAAATTGTGTGACACGTCATTAGCGAGGAGATACTTTTAAAGAGATTGTACAACAGAGATCTTTGAAAAGAACTCTGCCTTAATCTGGAGTTGATTTTCAGTAGAGTGGCCCCTGTACAAACATAAATTTGCCAAATTAAGTTCAGAGCTCTTCATTACAGTCCACAATTAGCTTGCACCAGTAAAAAATGACGATTTATTGGATTAAGCATGTTAATAAAGGCCTGGCAAAAACAGAAACAAAAAGCAGTTCAGAACAAGCAAAATGCATTAATATACATGATGTGGGCTCTCACTCTGGCCAAGATGAAAATGGTTTCCTGGATTTCAGATAGAGGCCTTTCCAAAAACAACCTTATTTTGAGCATTTCAAAGGTAGACTTCAAATAAATTATGAAAAGCAAGACACAAACATTTAGCCAAATGTGAAAAGAGGCTTTTTGAACACATCAGGAGTGCCAACCATAAATAATTTTTGTAAGCAACGCTAAGCCAGACTTACATCCTTCCGGTAATGCACCTACAGCAGCACCAAGAGTCATTATTTCTGGCTGGGATGAATTCAGATGAGTTATCTCATTCTCAAAAAGATGTCTACAGAAGGCTCTACTGGCTGCCAAAAGCAGTATTCACTTAAAATAGAAACCCATTTTCAGTTTGACTTAACAGGTCTGTAATGATAATCTCAGGGAATTTACCAGTCTGGGGAGTTTTATTTCATGTAAATGGAGTTATTCCAAGGTTTGAAGAAATTCACTCTGTATTTCGGGAAATGAGCGTGATGTTGTTTTACTAGAAGAAGCAGTAGCTCTTTCTGCCAGGCACTGTGAGCTGCTTTTGAAAAGCTGTTGTTTGTTCACAACAAAGTGAACACAAAACATTGAAATAAGTATATATGATTAATTAATATCTTCAGAAAAGAAGGGTGTATCAAGGTCATATTAACAAAACTTGCAGTTACAAAATGAAAAAAAAAATCAATGATTCATCCAGCTGTTCTGGATTAGTATAAAGTTGTTCCTAAATGAGAACACATGGAGGTATGGGCACACCCAGGATTCATCTGAATGGTATGGCAGCTACCAAACATCTCTTTGCTTTGGGTGTTGTACCCTTGCATTTTTTTGTCTAAAGAAATGTATGTGCAGGTTAATCATGACTGTCAACCTAATGGGATCAAGAGCATCCTGGAGAGGTGACTGGTTATCAGAACACTGACCTCATAATGGTTTCACCTACTGTTGGGTTCATAGCTGAATGGACTATTAGGAGTAAGACTCGAGTTGGAGGAAGTGGGCCATGTGGGGGTGTCCTTGGGATGATATCTGGCCCTTTAGAGTCTTTCCAACTCACTCAGCTTCCCAGCTGCCTTGAGTTCAGCAGGCTTCTTCCACACTCCCCTTCCACCATGATGTTTCTACTTGTAGCCAACTGATCGTGGACTGAATCCTCTGAAACTGTGAGCAAAAATAAATCTCTTCCTTTAAGTTGCAAGTGTTGGGTATTTTGCCCCAACAACATGAAAGCTGACTAATATGAGGGAATCATCTGGAATCTCCCCCTGGCCAAGAGCTCTGTGAAAACAGTTAATAATACACCTAAAAAAAAACAAACCTGAGAGTTTTGATTATTAAGAAATATGTGCACCACTTTCTGGGTGATTGATTGTGGAGGTCAGCTCTGGGGTTGGCCTCAGAGGATGGATGTCTAAACTCATCGCCAGAAAACAGGAAGGGCTTTGGGGAATAGCAGAGATGTAACCATGACATGAAGGACAAGGAAAAAGAGCTATTCAGGGAAAAAAAGGTGTCCACATGTGCAAATGAACAGCAGCCAGGGGGCATGTGGCTCTTTTAGGAAACAGATTCATTAGAACAAAAGAACAGAGTGCATAATGGTGAAGTGGGTGGAGAGAAATTTAGGAGTTTAAGCAGGAACACAATCATACAAATTCTTGTAAGCTAAGATCAGGATCTGACCTTTTATTTTTTCTAAATCCTTAAGCAAACACCACATATGAAATAAATCCAGAATCTGATCACATTTTCTTAAGCATCTTTATGCCCATCATGGTCCAAGTCACTATTAACTCCCACCTAGAATATTGAAACAACCTCCTAAATGCCCTTATGTTTGCCTTTGCTCCTTTCAGCCTCTTCTCACCCTGGCACTCCATGTGTTTTGATTCTGTTTTATTTTTCTCCATAGCATTTATCATCTGACACACACCTTATTGACTTAGAAGTTCTTCACGTACTTCTTCCACTGGAAGAATAAACAGATGTTGTTTACAAGTATATTATTCACTTTTAGAAGACTTGCACAACATAGATACTCAAAAAAAATTGCAGATGAGCTGGTTTTCCTTCCCCTATTAAAACCCTCCAGTGTCTTACCACCTCACTTTGATAGGAGTTCAGAATCCTTAACATGGCTCACAGGACTCTGCTTTTCCAGTAATATCTCTGCACTAATTTCCTATCACTTTCCCACTTTCTCCCTCTGCTTGCAACACATGGGCCTTTCCATGCCTGATGATAGCAACCGTGCTTTAACCTCATGGCCTACATACACCTCCCATTTCTTCTCCCTGAAATACTCAGGCTCCACACAATTTGATCCTGTATTTCTGTCAAATCTTCCCAAATGTCTCCCACCCACAAATGCCTTTTGTATATCAACTTCACACAATACCAGCCCCCTTCTGCCACCCCTATACTCGCTTCCCCCTTTCCTGGGTTTGTTTCTGGGTGTTTTGTTTTGTTTCGTTTTCTTCATAGTGCAGAAAAGACATGTGAAAATACCACTAACCCTCTTATATATTTACATGTGTTCCCTGTCTAACCTACAAGAAGACCAACTAACTGTACAAAAGCAGAGTTGGGTCATGACTGTTTCCTGTTTCTTAGAGCTATGTCTCATTCATGCTAAATACCTTCAACAGTGAGAGGTCCTCTAGGGAAAACCATACCAGTTATTTTAAGAGAGGGAATTTCATATAAGACAGTGTTAACTAGTTGCAAAGTGGCTACTAGGGATTTGGAAGGATACAAAGAGAGTGCCTTAAGTACCTCAGAAGTACTGTAGGAATGGCAGGGAGCAACTACCACTTCTGACACCGAAGGGACAAGGAAGAGGTTGGAATTATTACGCTTTAAACTAGGAGATGGCTCTTAGGAAGCTAAAATCCATATTTTAAGGAAGAGGCTGTCCACTCTGGTGTCTCTCAGCTCACTGGAAAGGCCAAATGGATTTGCTACCCAAGTTTTTGAGGAGAGACCAGGGCTGGATAGATAGATACCACAGCCAGTTGTGAAATGGGCTCCATTTGTGCTAGAAGAATTAAATGCACACTGGAGCCAGCTGTTGCTATCAGAAGGAACATACAGCTGCTATGTAAAGACACAGTGCTGGGTGATGTCATTGGGAACAGAAAGCAGAGAGGAAGTGCACAGGCTTCCTGAGAAGCAGAAGAATGTCCCTTCCTGTTGCTCAAGACTTTCAGTTTCCCTCTATCGCCCTCTACTGGCAGAGCCTAACATGGAGGCCACTGACGGTCTCAAAGTATGGTTTGTAGCGTCCCAGCCCAGCATCACAAAACTGTGTGTAGAACGTTGGGTTTGAAACCAAGAAACAATAACTTAATAACTTGCACAATGCTCAATCTGTTTGTTGAAAGAAGTTATTGAAATGTTTTTTTCAAAAATCACTTAAATTGCTTGAAAACTAAGCATACTGCTAGAAGGAATAAAAAGCAATAAAACTAAAATTATTTAAAGGATACAGATTTAAATTATTTAATTATTTAAAGCAATTGAGACTTGTCTAGGGTTAGGGTTGAGTAAAATAATCAATTCTTTTCACAGGCAATAAATGATGTTCTGTTTCCTGGCAGCTGAGGCAAAAATGGAAATATGCCATGCATTAAACATTAATTTTCATAGCGCAAGTAGAAAAGAAGGGAGGCCTAAAGGTAAAGTTAATTTTTTTCTGAAAAGTTCTTTGCTATTTTCAAGCATGTGCATTTGTTTTGAATCCCATAGTTTATCACCAGGCAACATGAAATTTAAAAATTTAGTCTTCCATAAGTCTTATTCAATAACTGTGTGTGTGCATGTGTGTGTGTGACCAGCTGCTGTTTCATCAACAAAAGAACATTAATACATAAACTAGCAACTAAGAAACAATCAGAATGAATGAATAGCAAAATCCATGTCTGAATAATCGAATAAATGCACTTGTGGGCCAAGAGTGACTGAATCCCTACACAAGACATAATAAATTTACTTGTTGCTTGAGGATATCTAAGACTGAATGTCTACCAAATACAGTGGACCCTCAAGTTATGATTGGCCTGACATACAAACAAGTTGGGTTAATTAGATTAATGGAAGATTCATCTGCCTCTTGTTATCTATATTGTTTACCCAGGTAAACGTCCAGATCTCAGCTCTATTGACTTACAACCAACTTGAGTTACTACCACCCCTTGGGGAAATGATTGAGTTCATAAGTCAAGGGTCCACTGTACAATGGGTTTGTTTGTTTTGTTGAATTTTGTGCTGAGGCATCCCTTTTGGAAGTATGATGGCAGTAGAGCCACACTGTTTCTACATTTCACTCTAAAAAATATGACAAGGTCATTACTATAAAGGAGGATACTTGTATCTCTCTTTGTTGCAGTAGGAGAAGATGAGGTCAATTCGCTTCATACCTGTGTTAAGTTGGGAAAGATGAGAAAGATCGGTGCCATAACTTTGTCTTCCTTGACATCACTTGCAGCTGGACTGTATTTCATTGTGACACTATTCGTACTTCCTCTAATTTTGGCAAATGGGCTGAAGGAAAGACAGTGGTCACAAAGGTAACCGTCTGGACTGCATGGATTGGCCTTTAGAAAAGCTTTGTCTATAGAATGAGAGTTAAGTGATGGAGTTATGATGTTTATAAATAGCCTTGAGATATTCTTAACCTTGAAGCACTTCAGTGTGTCAGGCATTGATGCTACTACTTGCAGCAAAATAGATTCACTTTCAATTTCAAAAACATGGACTGGAAAGACCAAGTCCAGAAAATAAAAAGATAAGGAAAACATATTTGCAAAAAACATACATAATAACAGACTTTTAACTAAAATCAAACTTAAAGAACTTAAAACTTAACAATAAGATAAATGACCCAATTAAAAATTGGGCAAAAATCCTAAATAGACATCGCCTAAAGAACATATACAGATGGTGAGTAAGGATATTGAACATGTTCAGTATCACACGTCATTAGGGAATTGCAAATTAAATACTACTACATTCCTATTGCAATTCCCAAAATCCAAAGCATTAGTTTCAAATGCTGGTCAGAATGTGGAGCACACTGGTAGGAATGCAAAGTGATGCAGCTGCCTTGGGAGAGTTTGGCAGTCCTTCACAAAGCTAGACATAGTCTCATTCTGTGACCCAGCAATCAGTCTTTGGCATTTACCCAAATGAACTGAAAACTTATGTCCACACAAAACACTGTGTTTGTAAAAGCTTGATTCATAATCATTAAAATTTGGAAAGAACCAAGATATCCTTCAGTAGATATATGGATAAGTAAATGGTGGTACATCCAGTCAATGAAATATTATTCACACTAATAAGAAATGAACAATCAAACCAAGAAAAGACAGGGAAGAGACCTAAATCAAATTTACTATGTGAAGGTTGATTTTAACCAATGTACCATTCTGCTGAGGAATATAAGTAATAAGAGAGGTTGTTTAGGTGTGGGAATGGAGAAATACAAGGACCCTTTCCTTTTTGCTCAATTTTGCTGAGAATCTAAACCTACCTTTAAAAATAAAGGTTTTTGATTTAAAAGAACTTTAATTTGTTGTCTATATCACAATGAAATTAATATTTTATGATATATGCTTTCTTTTTCTCTTAGTTATCAAGAGTGAATATCAATATATATGTATATTCCTTAATTTTAGAACAACTGGATGCTAAATTTTACTCTATTTTCTGTCATTTCTCCAATGTTCTGTTTCCTACCACTTCTGTTAATGATGGCATATGTTAAATTTTTTAAAAATTGCTACTCTAAGAATAGCAACGAAGATCAATAACATTTTGCACTCCTGTAGATTGAGGTTAGTTATCTTCTCTTATTACCTGAAGAAAGTGCGAAATATAATAAATACAACCTTAAAAAAGTAGAAGACAGAGATGGAAAAGGAGGAAAACAAGGTGGAGAAGGAAGAAGAAAAGGAGGAGGATAAATAGAAGAAAAGGAAGAGGACTATCTTTGGGACTGACAACCAACAATGTCTGCTACCACAGTTCTCACAGGCGATTTCAGGGGAGGGTACAATTTAAAATTCTACTGAAACAAGTAAAGAGAGAAAACTGAAGAAATAGAGACAGTAAGTACAAAGGATTTTGATGTAAAGTGGATAAGATAAATGCAATAGTTTCCAGAGAATGGTGTAAGTTCAAAGAAGCTTAAAGTTGGTTGCAGTTTGTTTTTCAAGATAAGTGATTTGTGACTTTTTTTTGTATGCCAGTATGATTGATCTCAAGAAAGGAAAGAGAAATTGGTGTAGAAAATGTGGCACTTGTATGAGAATGCTAGGTGGAAAGGATGTAAGACAGTGGTAGGGGGTTTGGCCTTAGCAACAGAAATAAATCTAATCTACTAATAAAGAGGGTAATGCAGTAGTTAAATACAAATGCCGGAAGTTCATTGAACTGCTAATAGGGAAGCAACACTGTTCACATCCAGTTCTATTTATTTGTCTCAAAGTTTCAATGTCAGGAGAGGAAATGTTTGAAGTTTGGGGAGAGAGGAAGATGTGTGAGTCTATGGAGAAGAAAGTAGATTTTCTTGGGATGCATAAATTGGGAAGCCCAGCAAAATTCAGATTTTCAGCAGTGTTTTTACTGTTGCAGCATTGTCACAAAGTAATTGGATAGTTGAGTCTGGCTTTGTTTGGGATAAGTAGTCTAATGGAAGAGAAATGGAGAGAAGGGGTTAAAGGTGTTTCTAAGGGAAACATCAGGCATCAGGCAATGGATAATTTAAGCTGAGTAGGAAGGAAAGTGAGAACAGAATGGAGGCAATAAATACTGAAAAGAATTCAGGTCCGGGGTTTAAAGTTAGAATGAAGTTAGAGGATGTTAGCTGTGGAGTACAACAGAAGTAAACTCCAGGGTTAAAAGGTGAGCCTGATAGAGCAAGGGATTTAGCTCAGTGGTTCCAGCGCCTGCCTCACAAGCACAAGGTCCCGAGTTCTATCCCCAGCACCAAATAAATAAATAAATAAATAAATAAACTTTAAAGGTGCTAAGACCATTTATGATGAAAAGATGGATGGACAACGACAGACGAGAAAACAGGTAGATCTTAAGAGGGGAAGGAACTGAGAGACCAGGTAGGCCATGGACTCCGCCTCCCAGACCCTCCACTCCACTGCTGATGACCACAAACAAGGAGCTTCCATCCGTATTCCTGTCTTTATCCAACACAGGAGGAGAATAACAAAATGTACCAGTCACAAAGCTGTCATGAAGCCTAAATAAGTGCATATTGGCAAAGTACTTTCCACAGTGCCTACTACCTGGTAAGCATGCAGTAAATGTTTGCAGTTAATCCTATTTGCATTGGTATTATGTATTTATTATCTTATATTTAAATGATGGTGAAGGCTCTGAACACATTGAGTGTTCTGACAGTCATTACCTGAAGTATTTATCTCTTAAAAATCTCATTTACTATTGTTATACCTGTTTTATAGTTTCAGGGACAGAGCACAGCTAGGAAACGAGAGAGTCAGTCTTTGAACCAAATCAATGTGATTGCGTCTTCTCCCTCCTGCACTACCTGTGGGTGCAGTGCAGCGAGAACAGGGAATGAGGCAGGTCAGGTGGAGAGGCAAGATGAATGAGAAGGCTTTGGGGACAGAGCTAGGAAGCCAACCGGAAAGTGCAGTGGATTGAGAAGTCCATGACATGCACTTCAAAGAAGCTGGGGTTTTGAGGGAAGAAGAAAGCGAGCCTAGAAATGACAGCAGGGAGCGGGCCTACAACGCACAGAAGCATTTCAAGCATTGCCGACCAAAGGACAACATAAAAAACAACTTCAAATTTGGGCATTCATTGTACTTGGCAGTTCCTTGGGATTCTGTCCTTGTCGTTGTATTTTTATCCCAGGGAGAGGAAGTTCTTGTGACGCCCTGTCCTCCAGCCCAGTCTTGCTCAGTCAAACTGAGTTGAAAGGGGAAGCTATCAGGTTAACCAAGAGGATGTTTCGGGGTGGTTCTCAGGCCAATGCCCACATGAAAGTACTAGTATAAAAACAAAGAAAAGCTTTCAAATGAGGGGACTTTTATAGTGTATAAAGTGTTGCAAACAGATACAAATTTTCTAATTCCATTTTGTCCATGATAGGGTCCAAAATCAATCAATCAATCAATCAAATGTTATTCAAAACTAGTAAGTATAGATCATGGGTCAGCAAAGGACAGCTAACAGACTAAATTCAGTCTGTCACAGGTGTTTATATTGCCTGAGAGCTAAGAATAGCTTTTACATTTTTCAATGTTACTAAAAGATTAAGATTAATAATATATGAAATGCAAAAATTATATAAAATGCAAATAATCGATGAAATAATTAAAATTTCATTACAGATCAGCATTATCAGATAACATTCTCAATAAGTTTTGATAATATGGAACACTGTGAACCCTAGTTAAGTAAAACATTATTTCATTACAAAATAATTTCATTACAAAAAACTTAGTTATATCTGAATTTATAATTTCATCAAAAATTTTAGGAATTCATTCTAGTTTTTGTTACTTTACCACCTACATAATATTCTCAATTTACCTGTTATACTGAGAATCTTGAAATATTTATTATGTGGCCTCTTAGAAAAAAATTTGGACAACTTTTAGTTACAGGTAAATGGGTAAAGTTCATATTGCTGTAGCTATCATCATGTAAATAGTATGTATGTGATATGTGATATCTATGTTAGCCATTTGATCTCATATTCATTCAGCTTCCAGGGATTTATAAAGCACAGACCAAATACCATAGACTATCCTAAGTAAGGAGGGTAAAAGTTGAAAATACATGGTTATTGTTCTCAAGAATATTAGTCATTATTTTATTGTGGTGGTAATTTTGGTTGAACTTAAGAAAAACAAAGGATTCCTAAAAATTTTTCACATAACTATACTCCCTTCTGTCTTCCACTCAGTTGCCAGCTATTATTGGCTACTAAATTTTATCTCTTTATAACGGTTGATAGATTCATTGGTTTTTAATCTTGAAGAGCACAAATATGATGTCTCTCTCCTACTTTTCATTCCATTGAAGAATCTTGTGCCCTCCCCTCTTATGCTTACCCCCTATTGTGCCACTTGGATAAAGTCACCCAACATGTGTCCTTCCTCCAGGATAGATCTACCGTCGTCCATTAATTATCCTGGCAATTGTGCTGCTCATCTGCAGAATCAAGATGTGAGCCATTTACATATTTTTAAGTAGCTAAAAGTTGTCCTTCTCCTTATAAATTCTCTCTGACATCAATTACTCTGTAGGATCTCAGTGTGGCTTCAGGGGAGTGAACAGCCAATAAACACAGAGCAGTCTGATAGCATGCAATTATAAGCTGTGTTTAGCTTTCACAACAGAATCTTATCCAAAACCATCTGAGAGATGCCAAAACCACTTCCTAGGCCTGCACTGCAAGACAAGTGGACATGGTCTTTCTCACCGAGTGATGCAAGGCACCAGATAACCAGACGCCTGATCACAGGCTGGTGAGAGAATTCATCTATCTAGATATTAAGTCTCAAAAATTAAAGATTTGTGGTTCCATGTCGTTTATTGGAAATTTTTCTCTTCACATTCATTGCTATTCCTTCTTTCCTCCTCTGTCCTCTATCACTATTTCTCTTTTCTCAGATCCTAACAAGAAGTAACCTTCATTGGAGTAGAAAAATTGAGAATGTAAGGCTTGATCCAGAAATAAGGGAGAAAGAAAATGAGTAGTTAAGGGTTGCAAGGGAGATAGAGATTTTAGCTTTTTTAAAACCCAAAAATGAAAAGCGTTTTTAAAAATGTCCCAAGTATCTCGCTTCCACAAGCCATCAATATTCTTAGGCTTATCCGCCTTGGAAATTGCTAGGATTTGGGAAATCGCACCTGGGTCAGGAGTCACGTGTCTTCCGAAATGTCCTCTGTGACAGCAGGAGAGATTTTCTCTGAATCTTGAGTCCAATCTTGAGTTGGTTTTAGACTAGAAATAAACAAGGCTGGGAACTTGGTAAAAGAGGAAAGTTTGGCCATGCTAGAAAGAGAAGGAGTTTAAAACAATGAAGTAAAGCAGAAGAGCAAAGAGATGGGGAGGAGAGGATTTGAAGGGGAAACCGAGTGAGAAAGCGGAGCAATGTCAGGGTCGCAGGGGCCAGAGGCCCGGATTACGCAGATAAACTCCAGGACGGCCCCGCCCACCCCACTCCAGCCAGCGTAAAGGACGTTTCTTCGACTGCTTTGTCGTAGTCTCTAAAGCTGTTAGAATTATTGATTTTTTTCATGATATAGTAATAAGGATATGCATCTTAATGTAATGAAACCAACTTGACGCTATTTTAATATTAAAATAAAATTGATAATTACAATTATTAAAATTAAATAATTAAAATTAATGAATTTTTTTAGCTTGTATCACGCCTCATTTACACCTACTACCACCAAATAAAAGTCTTCAGTCAATTCTATTTTGTGTTTTCCACATCCCGGGGAAGGCATTACTATGCCCCTGCCTTCAACACAGTCCGCAGAGGTACTGTATTCTGAATTTCCCACCTCCTTCACCATCTCCTCAAATGTGAGTACAAGCAATCACCAAACATGCAATGTCTTTTCCTAAATATCTTCCAAATCTGGCTCCTATTTACACTACCTAGGCTACTCAATCCCTTATGTAGATTTCTGGTATTATTTTTGTACTCTTATTTCATGACTTATTTCTTATTTCCTGATTCAAAAATCTTTCCTAAATTTCAAATCTGTGTTCTCATCTCACATAGCTTTTGAGGGGACTTGCAACAGCCCCTACATTAAGCTCACTCTAACCCCTACCTGTAGAGTACTTTTCCTTAGTGGCCTTTCCAGAAAATCCTTTCATGTATCTAGGGCCTTTATATACTTTGCCATTGGACACTTCTTCCAATATGACACACTGTCTCATTCCTTTGCATCTATTAGTGATGCTAGGTATTCTTACCTAGCTGCCTCTTGAAAGTGTGTGTACCGTAAGTACAGGGCCTATGACTTGTTTATTTTTGTAGCAATTGTACCTGATATCGTGGCTGGAATGTGGTAGAATGAGAAAAAAGATGGCAACTTTTAAAGCAGCTGCTAGGAAAGGGATACGTGTGAAGATGTTCCTGGTAGTCCTAAGAAAACATGATGCCCCAGACATTTGGAGCAAGAAGAAAAGACTAGGGTGAGTTCTGGGCACTAAGAAAAAATAAGCAATGAAAATAAATGCTTACAAACAAATGGTCTGCTGTACAATTGGCACAGGGCTGGCCTTGGTGTGAAGGGTGGTTCAAAAAATAAAAATAAAAGTGACTGTTCAACATGGGAGGAAGGAAGGAACACCAGTGATTTTCCTCTCAAGCAGGCCAGACTGACTGAAGAACAAACTGGCGATGATGGGCATCGCATTCCCAGACGGGAGCAGCTGGTGCTGGTGCCAGGGGGCCAGCTGGAGGAGGAGAGGAGCCGCGATCCAGGAACCACCCGGCTGCGGGCTGCTGCACCACACACAGACGTGCTTCCTGGGAAAGACCTCTGCCAACTGGGAGCTCAGGCTTGAACCCGACGTTTCAGGCGATGCCTTCTCGTCTTTCTTTTCCCTCCTCTGAGCTCATTCCAGGAACCCGCCTTGTTCTTTGCTGTGGTTGAGAAAGATCACATGGGTCTTTTACCGAAAAGGCAGGATCCCTGTCTCCTCCCTGCTCCTCCGAGGACACTCCTGGAGCCTGACACCGGGCCACCTCCACTCTGCGCCTGCCATCCTTTATGTGGGATGAGAGTCTGCAAGTCTAGGTGGAGGCCCGGGCCTGCCAGTCGCAGAGAGTAAATGATGATCATGGTGCGGCATGAGAACCACCACTGTCAGCAGCATCCTTCTGTGATGCATTTTGAGCTCAGACAGCTGTGGATGCTCTCGTACCATTCTCTCATGATGTCTCTCATGCTAGCTAATTTTAAACAAATACTTCACTAGAAGAATTTGACAAAATCAGAAAAACAAACACATGGCCCACTCTATTAATTGGAAACAGAAAACGAGTTGTTAAAATGGGAAAAGGGGATTTGACTGCACCTTGCACTCAATCTTTTCTCCTAATATGCCAATAAGGCATCCAGACTTATCCGGGAACTCTCCTCCTGCTTCCCACGGATACACAATATAACTTTTACGCACGTTTCCTCTCTATGCGTGCTTCCTCCATTCTAACTAGTTGTACTAGAGCCTATAACCTGCACAGCACAATCTTTCACCTTGCACTTCTGTCTCTCCCACCTGCCTGTGGACTTCTGGAAGGTAAGAATTTATCTCAAACCATCACCGTTAGCTCATTTTTGCCTTCCAAATGCCAGTTCCTGAGCCTCACTGTTGGACTGTGAGGTTGTTGTGGATAGGAATCATGGATTATTTCAGGACTTAAAAGCAATACACAAATACTTGTTTCTCATCTAATCTAGACAAAACACTAGTTGACCACATATTGTCATGACCAAAGTTTTGTATGCAAGTTCAGCAATGTGGCCCATTCTGAAAACCTTCATTTTCTCTCATTATGTTAGACATTGTGAATGAAAGGAGTCTGTCATCTTGTAGTCTCGGCCCATGAGAAAGCTATGAAGATGCGGATGCTCTTCGCAATAAACATGCTTTCAACTTGAGGCAGCAGGGACAATGAAATCTAGGTCACTTTTCACTGAGTAGACCAGCAGAAAAACTTTCATGAAGTCCCACCAGGAGCCCCTCGGAGGCTGGGACAGCAAGATTGGAAATGGAAATACTGCACAGCTAGTACAGGACAGTCATCACAGGGAGCCATGCTGCTTTATGAATCACTAGGTCCCCGGCCCTAGGGACAATTCAGTTTCTGTAACCATCGCAGAGTATGTTTGGTCATTGACTGACTGTTCCCTGTCTAAATAATGTTCCTCTTTTACTTGCCCTACTCTTAATTCTTTTCTTTCTTCCTACACTGGAATTGTATGGTACTATTTCTAAATCACTACAATATTTCCTTGTGTTTTTACTGTCAACACGTTCACAGCCATTATTTCTCATCTGAGAGAAAAATCCATAACTGTAAAAAGTAAAAAGAAAGGGATAGCTGTTACATAAATAGATACATTCCATTTTAATTTTTGACCACGTTTTGAGTCCGTCCTGGTTACCGGGCATTGTTAAGCAGTCAGCACATATTGCCCCATGTAGCACTCACCACATGGATAGCTTAAATACCTGTTAGAGCTCCACTGTTACTTATGAGAGAATAATAGGTATCGCAATATGTTTACTGCTTTTACAGTGTCATCTGCTAGTACGTGATAAAGCGGGAATTTGAACCAAGGTCTGTGAGACTCCAAATTTTAAGTCTTTACTACTAATTATGTATGGCTTTGAAGTCCATTTCTCATTTTTCTCCCCACTTCTGATAATGCTCATCCATTTCCAAAGAATCTTTTGCCAACAGAACAATGTATCACACAGAAATTCTAGAGTTCTTTATCGTACAGGTATGATCTAATCAAGACCAAAAGGGCTTAAATAAGGGAGTTAGAGCACTAAAACTTCAGCTGCTCACATCCTCCCTGACACATTCATTGCTCAGCCCCCTGCCTCCCACCTGCATTGCTCCACAGGGTCAAATCAGTCTAACAAGCCCTGGGTGGGGCTTTTTCCTCTTTGACATTCCAGCACTGCACATGTGGTGCACATCTCCTAGCACGCATTAACCTCTTGCCCAGCCTTCCTTGTAACACCTCAGCTTTACCTCAGTCTTAACCGGGGTCACCTCTTTCTCCATCATTCCTCCTTCAGGCTGCTGTTCTTCAAAACTCTAGACTTAGCTCCTTTCCCCCTCTGGAAAATCCAATCCATATTCATGGAATCAAATGCAGATTAGAAACACCAAGCTAATGCTCCAGACCTGATCCTTTCTGACACACATATCTTTTTCCGCCTGCCTGGCTGAGACATGGGAGGTGCTCACCCATGATGAAAACAAAACTCACCTTGTTTTCTGTTAAGGAGAGACTTAATCTTCCTCCAGAGTCCAAGACGACTCAGAGAGTACTCACAACTCAAGTATAAGAACATCATCCTCTCAGCCACTAGGAGTGGTGTTGGTCATTTATTGAGTTTTGATGTGGGCTACACTCTTCTTATGCTTTGATCCATTTCATTAATGAGAACACCTGGAAGAGTGGCTGAAATCCCCATTCCACAGACAATGAAACTGAGAGGTTTCATCAGACAGGTCAAGCAAATTTCCCAAGGTCGTGCAGGTAGCACAAGGTGGTAGTGGGATTTGAATGAAATCCAGATACTGGCTTAGAAACCCATACATTTTCAACTACACTGTGATTCCTCACCTAAGCCCCAAGATTGATAAAAGTTATAATAGCCAACATGCACTGAATTGCTATGTTTAGAGCACTAGAACTTTTCATAAAGTATATGATTTAATCCATACAAAGCAACCCAAGAAGTAGGAACTCTTGTCCTGTTTTATAAATGAAGAAACTGAGATTCAGTGAATTTTAAAGCTTTCCTTGCGTGAATGACCCAATCATAAGCTATAAAATGATAGTCCCAGGACTCAAATATCAAGCTTTTAAGTCCCTGATTTTTGCTGTCCTAAAAGTACTTTAATCTGCTTCCCTCTCTTCATTGCCATTGCTACTACCATGGTCCAAACGCTCATTATTTTTCCCAATGTGTTTCTCTTCTCCTTCTTTATTCTCATGGAATCCACTCCACTCTGTACATGGCTCCATGATTAGCACATATTATACTATTTCCTAAATATTGACTTTTCAGGAGCCTCATTGGAGCAGATATTCAGGTTTTTTCATCTCTGTTTCTATCTACACATCAGTGCATTTTACATTAAAGGGCAGACAGCTTCTCATTCTCTCCATTCACCAGAATGGTTTATTCATGAACAAATTTAAGCCCCCCCATCAATGTACAGAGAGATGGATGGAGATAAGAGCAAATCAGTACATTGAAACCACCACAAGTTGTTCAATAATTCTACCCCTTGTTTGATTTCTTCTGCCAGTCATTGGCTAGAAACTCTAAAGTTGAAGTAAAGATGTGGCCAAATGGAACATAGATTTCCTCAAAATAAGAAGTTGTAACTGAGTATGGACAAGGAAAAAAAATCTATTTCTTTATCCTATAATCACACCCAAGCCCACATTTATCATTAGATATAATGAACCTGTGACCTGTCAGTGAAACTAGAACCATGAACTATGTTATATCGTATGCTGTGGATAGGATGGTGTTGTGTAATTTTTAAAGTGATGAAGTGTTTTGTTTTTTGTTTTGACCACAGATTTTCAAGGATGGCACCTGCTTGTGACTTAGCATATAGTGGGGACTTCAAGGCCAATTTCAAATTTCAGAAAGAATTGGCTGATATCCAAGCATCCAAATTCATCACCACTGAAATCAATTCCTCCGAAGAGGGCATTTTCCCTTCAGCTGAGCAACACTGGCCATGATAAAGAGGCTGGAGAGCTGGTATGAGAGGAAACCAGCCCTGAGCTTCCTCCACTGGAGAACCAGAGAGCCCTCTAGAGCACCGGAAGTTGGTAGGACAATGGCCCATGATAAATATCCGTTACTCTTGAGAAATCACTAGGTTCAACTCCTCTTCACAGCTCTAACTTTGCGGTTTCTAATGATGGCCATTCAAAAAGGATACATCTAATCATTAGTCACTGCGTGTGAAAAAAGATTTTAGTCTCCCTCAAATAAAGATGGAATAACTTATTTGTGAACAAACCACTAAAGTTTTATTCATGACCTTTTTGACTCTTTCAGTGAAAAAAAAAATCAATCCAGAACCTGATGTGCTGAGTTAAATTCAGCTGCTTTCTTTTACAATAGGTGAGACACTTTATCCTTTATCATCTACAGCTGAAATGAAGGCTGATTTTTCACTTTTAAGCCATTTTCACCAACTTGCTAAAACCATTTTGGATAGCATCCACTTCATTTCATCAGATAACCAAAAAAACAAATGTATGGGCCCAGGTGGGAGTGGTTACAAGTCCTGGACTCAGCTGCCCTCACCATGTCTTAGGTAGGAAGAGTCAGGATGGCCTCTGCCAGCAGCTATGTGCTTTCCTTAAGGACCAGTATGCAGTCTCGGGCCTGCTGGTCTCAGGAAGACCTTAGCTGTGCCTGGCAGGCCGATGTAGGGCTTGCTGCGTGACCATGTGTGTGACAGCTGCAAAGCGCATTCCTTGTCTTACATGTTTGCAATACATGCTAATATGATACACAGGTACATGCATAACACAGTGAAACACCTTAAATCCAAACACAGCTGTCAAACTGTAAAATGCGTCTCTCAACTAGTGCCTGAGGCCTCAACTCTGGGAACTGGTATGAACCAGAGTATTTGCTTCTCTGACCACGCTTTCCTCTAATAATAATGACTGTGTCCTTTGCCCCTCGATATTCAATCATCAATCTGTGCTCTTCCATGCCTAGGCTTCCTGCCTCCCTGTCTCAGTCTACTCAAGTTGCTGTAACAGAACATGATAAACTGGGTGGCTTGTAAGTCTCAGATCAAAACGCTGACAGACTCTGGGTCCGGTGAATGTCCTCTCCTCACAGAGGACATCTTCTTGCTGTGCCCTCATGTGATGGAAGGGCCGAGTGTCTCTGCAGATTCTCCTATAAGGGCACTAATCCCATTCATAGGGGCCCTGCCTTTATGAGCTAAGCACCTCCATGAGGCTTCTGAGAGCACTGGAGGCTAGTATTTAACATAGAATTTGGAGGGGGAGACACACTCATTTAGACCAGTAGCACTCCCTGAATACCACTGCATAGCACAGCAAATGGCACATATCCAAATATATATATATATATATATGTATATATATAATGGTGTCATTTCTCAGGATGTAACAAATGGTTCCTCATTACTTACAAAGTAAAATTCAAATCCCTGAGCATGACTATGAAGTGGTCAAAACTGGAATTCATATGTATATATTTAAAAGGAAGAAAAGCTGAAAATCAAATCTCAAATTACTCATTTCAAGAAGTTAGGTGTGCAAACTAAATAGCAAATATAAAAAAAGAGAAAAAAATCAATGGGAGTAGAAATTAACAGGAAAGAAAGCATAAAGCAATAAAGAAGCCAAGATTAGTTCTTTGAAAAGTCTAATTAACTTGATAAGACTCTTGTGAAACTATTCAAGAAAAAAGGGAGAAGGCACAAAAAATTACAAATTGGATAAAAAGGGATAATCATTACTCTTTTACTTATTCCAAATATAATGATACATTTTATGCTGCCAGATAAAATAGAAGATGTGTGGTTAAATTTGAATGATTTGAAATAAATATTTAATTGTTGGAAACAAATAATTAATTGAAACAAATAATTTTTCATGTATATATATCCAAAATAATATATGTCTGACATAGATCAGAACAATTTTGCATTTGTTAAATATATTGAAGCCATCATTAATAAAATTCTCATATTAAACTTATAATGTTCTAAGTTTAGATGGAATCATTAAGAATTACATCAGACATTTAAGACAAATTACACCAATCTTAGTCAAAAATCTTACAGAGAACAAGAAAACAAGCAAACGCTTCCCAATTTATTCTATGTAACCGCTACAAACTTGGTAGCAAAATATAGAAAATATTACAAAAAACAAAAGTAAGCCTGGCTATTTCAGTTATTAAAGTAATATAAAAGATATATTATCGTAAACACTAAACAGGACAGCAAAATTGGGTTTATGTAGGAATGGAAGATCAGTTTAACATTTTGAAATCAATGTTATTCACTATATCAACAAAAGAAAATAGTATACAATTTTATAAAATATAGAAGGCAAAGTATATGAGAGAAAGCATGTTTGCACAAGAACAGTTTACCCATGCCTTATTGTGACAACAGTATGGGCCGTTGATACCTCGTGGGTAAGTGATTAGAAGTTTATAGAATTGAATTAGGGAGGCAGGAGGATCACTATGAGTTCAAGGCCAGCCTAGGCTACATAACCAGTTCAAGGTCAGTCTGAACTGCATAGCAAGACCTTGTCTCAAAAAATATATGCACTGAATTAGCACTTTCATACTTGTTCCAGGTGGAAACAATTACAAGCACTAAAAAAGTAAAGTAGGAATTAGCTTAACTGGTGTATTGAAATTCTTTGGGGAGCTCTGATTACATTCCTAGAATCAAAGAATATGCTGAGATAAGGAATGTTTGGGTTGGGGCCAAATGGAGCAAACACGTGGCTCCGCCGCTAGCACCATGGTTGGGAATATCTGCCCCACACCAGGAGGGCTATGGGGGAGACGTTCCACGCAAAAGAAGTGAACAGAACTGCGGAAACGGGCTGTGCCTATCTGGTTCTGGATACAGAAGGTTCGAGAGAAGCAATGAGGTCTCGCTAGCGTGAGCTCAGGGAGGGTAGTACTGAATTATAAGTAGATTTCCAGCCTCTGTGCACAGCATAGACATAGGCTGTGGTCCATGAGGAAGAATAAGCAAAACCCAATGCTGCCACACCTTCTACTCCCAGGGGCCTTCTTAAATGGAAGAGCACCTGTAAACGTAGCAAAGGGAGACTCCTGGTGTGGAGGCTACTGTTGATTGGCTTGCGTTCCTGACACCAAGGCGGTCATTTAGCTTGATTGCTTTTGCCCACCTACGGGGTTAGGATAAATAAACAGAAAATTCAACATAAATTTTAGACATGGAGAAAGTGGTTCTTGTTGCATTATTAATATCACACTGCATACTCAACTTTCTATATAGATTTGTTCTTTTAATTTTTATATTATGTGAATCCTTTCCATTGAAGTTGATCTCTGTCATACATTTCCTGATGGTTGGCATTCAATTTTTAATTAATAAAAAAGTCAATATTAAGAACAATGCTGAAAGGATATATATATGAACATAAAAGTTGAGATGAGCACAGAATGCTTAAGAAACATTAAACAGAGTTCAACAAGATAAAGTTGAAAAGTATTGGCAGGGTGTAGCAGCCTTTCATGCCAGAGTTTAAACTTTAATCTCTCTAAACAACACTCCTTGGTCAAAAACATCTATTGCCCAACTTTGCTTTACCTTGCTTTTCAATGTCTGCAAATCAGAGCCCCAGAATTACACAAAAGTAACTTAAGGTCCTAAGCATGGCTGAGATGGGAAGGAAAATGAAAACACCTGCTAAATGTTTCTGACTGCTCACTCTTATTCACACCAGAACAGCAATTTATGAATTTTTAATGCACTGGTTTAACATAGAATAGTTGGTGAGACAGACTGTAGAGACACCATTTAAGCTTTGCAAGTGCCGAAAAATGTAGGGAGTGGCTTGAGCCTAAGTGACAGAGCTGCTAGATGCTCCCAGTCCTGTTCTCTCCTCCTTGTCACATGGAAGATTATAGTTCAAGGCTTCTTTTCGGTTCGGTTTGGTTCAGTTGGTATCCTAAGGCTGGATTTGGCCAACTGAATGCAGAGAGGAGGGATGGGTATTACTCCAAGACTCACCCATAAAATGCCTTGTCTTCAACATCCAATCTCTCCTTCCTCATTTGCAGGACAGATGAGGCCAGGGCAACTTGGAAGTAGAAACATGGTGGAGAATCCAGACAAAGAGGCCCACAGCCCCCACTTGCAGGGATCCACCAGGGATTGCCATCCAGTTAGGACTTGTACTCTGGACTTTGCTGGCAAGCCACAGAGGCAGACGGGTGAAGCCATAGAGATTTGTGAGCTCCTTCCTACATCACAGTCCAGTCCACTGTAATCGATAAATATGGTGAAAGCATGGCAGGTCCTACCTACTGTAATTGAGATCTGCAGGATCATTTTAACATCCTCTTCCTCAATAGGAGAAAATTATTTTGAGGAACATCTATGATAAGAAAAGAAAACAGAAATAAAGGTTAGAAATAGAAGCAAAGTGGTTTTTTCTTTATAGAATTTTTATATATAATGCCGTAATTTTTTTTGGCAATATGTAGAAAGTGGTTTTATTATAGGGATGGCAGTGTTGGTTCAGCATTGGAAGATCCACCCCCAAAAGTCATCATTTTAACTGAGGAAAGAAAACAGAAATAAAGGTTAGAAATAGAAGCA